ATTATAACAGTAATGACCCCCCTCTCCTGGTACCAATTTCTGTTGTAGTCAAGAGTTGTGCAGAGAACAACTAGAATCAGGACGTGGAGTTTATAATATTTTTACAATCGTCACCAGGAGTTAACACAAAAAAATGCAGGAAAATCTATCTGCAACACCAAAGACAGAATATTTAGTCAAGGGCCTAAATCCCACAGCAATGTCCCACATGAGTTCAGATGAAAACCCAGAGCTCATGACAGTGCCTCCCACAAGTACAACTGGAGGTCGAGAGCCCACAAGAAGGACTCACAACAGTCTGTTTTACAGATCTGTGCCAAGAAAGCCCAAAGATCAGCGGGGAAGCTAGAAAGTCTATGCCAGCAGGGTGAAGGAGTTATGCTAGTAGGTTGAGGGTTCTTACACTGGAGCCAAGAAGTTACACTCACAACAAAGACCAGGGCTGTCCTGAAAAGCACCACAGCCGTCCTCAGTGACATGGAGGCCCTGAGCTCCTCCCAAGCAGAGTCGGGTACATGGCAGGAAGCAGCGTGATGAGTTCATCCTGGAGACCAAGCAGCATACTTCTTCCCCTCCGGAGCCAGAAAGCAATGGTTGATGTGAGGACCAGAGCTTCTCCAGGAGAACCAATGGCTCAAGCAGCAACTCCTCGGAGAACCCCCAATGCCTCAATGCAGCAACACATTAACACCTCAACCCTTCCTTCTTCTTCTCCACCTATTTATGCTGGCAACTTTCCTCAGGTGGAGCATCTTCCCTCAGTGTCATGCTGATGTAATCCAGCCGGCATTAAGTTGACCACCAGTTCTTAATTCGTAACACCAACAAAAAGCCAACCAGCCCACCAGACAACCACAGAGGTTTCTTTGAAAGTAAAGCTATTCAAGGAGACAGACAAAGACATGGATGAAGTGTAAAAAGAGAAATTTAACATAATTCTAGGAAAGTATTGAAAGACCTTGAGGAACTAACAAATAGGGTTTTTTTTTCTGAAACTAAAAAATTCAATTGGAAGGAATGACCTTGATTGATACTTGAATGTATCACTAGGAAGATCAAGTAAATGAAAAGCATTTGGCTCACACAGGAATAAGTCCTATATGAAAGTCAGGAGGGAAATTAAAATAGATTTGCAAAATACACAGGGGAGTTCTAACGTGGATAAATGGCATTCCCATCGGATAAAAGGGGTGAAAGTGAAACAATAGTTGCATGCACAATACAAGACATTTTCCAGGCCAAATAAAACTTTGTGCTGGTGCAAAGAGCTCACCAGGTCTTCTGTAGAATATCGAGAAACACAAATGTGCACACACACACCTAGGAAGTCTGATAAGGGTTACAAAATCATAAGGAATCTCACAAATTTTGAAAAAGAAGTAATAGAGCCAAAAGATGTAGTAGTAATATCATAGGTACTAGAAAAACAGGGCTATAAAAAGTTTTCCTTAAAATAAACACAAAACCACAACCTAATGCATCCAGATAATTTCCTGTACCAGATACACTCTTTTGTAGTCAGGGGTTGTACACAGAGAACAACAAGGATTAGGACATGGAGTTTGTAATATTTTTATAATGGTCACTGGGAGTTAACACAGGAAAATGCAAGAAATCTATCCGCAACACCAAACACATAGATTATTTAGTCAAGAGACTAAACCCCACATCAATGTCCCACATGAGTCTAGATAAAAATTCAGAGCTCAGGGCAGTGCCTCCCATGAGTCCAACTGGAGGTCCAGAGCCCACAAGAAGGACTCATGCCAGTCTCTTTTATGGATCCGTGCCGGGAAGACCCAAGGGTCAGCGGTGGAGGCCAGAAAGTCTATGCCAGCAGGATGAAGGAGCTGTGCTAGTGGGATGAGGATTCTATGCTGGCGCCGAGAAGTCACCCTCACAACAAAGAGCAGGGCTGTCCTGAAAGGCACCACAGCTGTCCTCAGCGACACGGAGGCCCTGAGTTCCTCCGACAAGCACAGTTGGGTACGTGCCAGGAAGCAGTGTGACAAGTTCATCCTGGAGACCAAGCGGCACATGTCTTCCCCTCCGGAGCCAGAAAGCAATGCTCGATGTGAGGACCAACTCTTCTCCAGGAGAACCAGCAGCTCAACAGCTCAACAGCAACTCAAAGGAGAACCCACAATGCCTCCTTAACACCTCAAACCCCAACACCTCCCTTCTTCTCCACCTATTTATCCTGGCAACTTTCCTCAGGTGGGGCATCTTCACTCAATGCCATGCTGATGTAATCCAGCTGGCGTAAAGTTGATCACCAGTTCCTAAACTATAACACACTCCATCACGATGTCCCACATTTTTTCCTCATACTATTATGACTGTTCAAAATTCTCATTTAGTTTCTGTTTCTGTTTCTCATCTCTCCTCCCCCAATAAAGTGTAAGATGCCCAAACTGCAGAAAACTTGTTTGCTGTATCATACCTCTGAAAACAATAAATATTAGTTGACTGACTCCCTGTTTTAGGTTTTAAAGTTTAAATTTTTGTACAGTAGTTTTTAAGGAGGAAAACAATATTTTCAATTTGTAAATATGAGGTTTTTTAAAAAATATGCTGTACATCAGATTTTGACCAGACAAGTAAAACTTGACTGCATTTTTGACTCAAAAATAAAATTATTTTAAAAGCCAATAGCAATTCTATTCAATATTCTAATCTCGTAGAACAAATATAAAAGTACTGTTTGTTATTCATCATTATAGTTAAAAAATTTCCAATGCAAGAATGCATTTTCCCCCTAAAAATGTAGATTTAAATATACAGTTATACGTCTATATCCATGGGATATTTGTTTCAGGACTCTGTAGCAAGTGCCTAGTATAAAATACCATGGTATTTGCATAGAGCTGACATGTATCTCCAATATGCGGGATTACTTATGAGACCTACTACAGTGTAAATAGTCATTACACTATATTGTTTAGAGAATAATGACAAGAAAGAAAGCCTCTACATGTTTGGTGTTGACGTCATTTATTTAAAAACAATCTTTGATCCCAATATTTGATCCCGAACTGAATTGGTGGATGGGATCCAAGGTATGGAAGGCTGACCGTGCATGCACGAGACTGCTGTGGCAGTGGATGGTTATTTCTTTGTTTTCAGCATGGTGACAAAGTTGCTTCTGTGAGGTTGCTTAGCAGGATTCTGGGTGTTGAAGGTCAGCTGTGTGCCAGAGGAGCCCACAGTGCAGCGTATGTGAGCCCGGAGAGATGCTCTCCTGTGCTCTCCACGTGTAGGGAGACAGGGGCACTCAGGAGGGCAGGCACGGCCCACAGAGGCTGAGTACCTGGGCCAGTATATGTCTGAGTCTGTTCACTTAATGCAATGAACATGAAGCTAGTAATTCCTTTTTGGTTCTGCTTTTGTTGAAAGAAATCCATTAAGTCATTCTACAACCAGCATTGAGATTTCCGAGATTAATGAACAGAAGTCCTTAGTGCAGGCTAATTTGGAACAATACATTGAACTCTGGAAATAGTTGCCCCCACAGAAGATGATGCCACCTCTCCAATCTTCGGGTTTCTTTTTAAAGAAATTCTGGCCAGGATTTTTATTATTAGGTATAAAATGTAAAAGAAAATGGAGTCAAAGAAATATTCTTCAAAAGCCTAGATACAACAAGACAGGCTGCATCAGATTTATGATGCTCAGGGTTACTTAAAACACAGCACTCAGGCAAACAGCACACAAAACAGAGCACCTCAGACTGAAACAAAACAAGACGCTGCTGAGGATGCAACCACGGTGAAGGGAAGAATATCTCCAGCCTAAAACGCTTCATAAACAAAAGAACCTCGGGGCTTGGTGTCCAACAGGATTTGGGTCCTGTAAATAATTTCAACAACTGTGTGATCTCAGGAAAATCATTGAAATCCTGAACCTATGTTTCATATTTGCATGACTGGAATAAGAAGTTTAACCATGTGGCTCCTATACACTGAGAAAAGTAACATTCAAATCCCTTAGGACAGTGCCTAGCACACAAGGTGAAGTCATTAAATACTTAACACTTATTATCTTTTTAAAATGAGAGACAAAATACCAATTTCATCTGTGCCCACATAGGTGAAGTATAAGGGAGAGTAATTGTGCTATTCTGTGATTGTACCTGGACGAATGGAAAGTAGTCTGACAACACTTGAATGTACAACAGATTTTATTCTTGGTAAACAACTAATATCGAGGCTTCCTTATTTGTTAGGATATAATGAATTTAATATTCTGGCATTCAAGCCAGTCTCTGTTCCAACACTAACTAAACTCATGGGAGCAGGACTTGTCTATCAGAAAAGCACAGCATATTTCTAAGTAACAGGTTGTAATTAAAATAGGAAGAGAGACAAATGGGCATAGACGTTTCCAGTGCTGATCCTGAGTCATTAAGGAGACACGCTGGTGGCCCTGGAGCATGGCTTCTTATTGACAGCAGGATGCTGTGTCAGCAGGATTAGGTGGGATTGTAAAGTATCAGAAAGCTTTTAGCCAGACCAAGTCTTTAGATTGGATGATTGTTAAGGGAACTCTACAGGATCAATTCTGCCTCTAGCTTCTGTTATTTTTATGGGTTAAGTCTTAAAATCTGAGCAGAACTCATTTCTAAATCCAGGACACACACCTCTTGATATTGACTCCAAGCTCTCTCATAAATACATTTTAATGATGTTTTAAAATTTGAAATATTATGACCTCTATCAGTTCATAGCCTGACCCATTCTTAAGGAGGCTTTCATCATTTCCAGAGAAATCCCTGTGTCACTTTTAATTAATATGCTTACAAATTGCTTTAGTTAGCCTAGGTGATCTCAGCGCTAGTTGTAGAAAGCCTTAGATTCTTTTACTAAAGGCAGAGGGTTATTTATTAGTTGTATATTTATGGCTACTGTATAAACAGACTTGGAACACTCCATGCGGTGTCACTGGCTGTTTGTGCTTTCACCATGATGATTACTAACTACTTTGTTTCTTGGTGTTTGCAGAGCACAGCTATGTGGACCATGACACAGCACTAGCTGGAGCACAGGGCTTCACAGGATGCCTGTCTGGGGTGCAGCTCAGCCATGTGGCCCCTCTGAAGGCTGCCCTTCGTCCCAACAACCCAGCACCTGTCACCATCACTGGGCATGTGACCGAATCCAGCTGTGTGGCCCCGGCTGGCACTGATGCCACATCAAGGGAAAGGACACATTCATTTGCAGGTGATTTAAACCTTTGCCTCTACCCACTCATAAACTCACCTTGTCCATTGGATTGGGGAAACTTCTGATTTTGTTACTATGCTGCATTCTCAAGATGGCCTCTTAAAGTTGGCTCTGTTTTAATTTGAGTTCTCATTCTCATTTTTTCTAGAGTCTTAATTTCTTATTCATGGTTCAATTTGAAAATGATAGAGATTCCACATTTACTTCCAGCACCATGTTCAGGTGTAAAATATTTATGAATTTTTCAAAATTTTGTCCTTGTCCTTAGCTGTGTCACCTCGGTCCCTCTTTGTGATTTCATTGCAGATCATTCTGGAGCAGTGGATGAGCGGGAGCCCCTGACTAACGTAATCAAAGGTGACTCAGCAGTAATTGGAGGTAATGAGAAGCGTGGAAGGGTTCATCTTGGTTCCTTATTATATTGCTGATAACTGTGAATATTTAATTTCATATAAATGTCTCTGAGGAACCTACTCACTTTGCAAGTGCCGAGCACTGAGTTGTGAGGACAACTGATCGCATGCGTCTACTGGTTTGTCTCATAGGATCTTTCTGAATTCTTGGCATTCTTGGAAACTTTCAGTATAAATAATTGACAATCTCCCTGAAACACCATATTCAAGGAATAATTGCAAAACTGTAAAAATGAATATTAATTAGATCTGAAATGTCCAGTTGCAAGCCCTATGGAATTCTGAATATAGTTGAGAAAATGTCATTTTCAATTTCCTTTGACTTGGACATATGACTGCTCCAGCAAGAGCTCATGCAAAAAGTAGGAATAACATTAACACGAGAAGCATATATTTTGTGTTGCCTTAATGCTTATTAACCTGGGTATTTTTGAAATAATGTTCAATATCAATGGATATTATACCTTCAATTTCATTTCTATCAGATATTGGGTTAATGGACTACACATGGTTAGCAGTAATTTTAAAATGCAGAGTTAACACAGAAAACTTTTAAAGTATTTCTCCCTGGTAATGTGAAAGCATAGACTTTGAGATGTAATTTATTCAAAACCAGCTCTAGAAATAAACCTTTTCTCTTCCTGATTAATGCTCTTAAGCATGTTATTAATCAAATTATTGAAATGTTAAGTGGTTTATTTTTCCCACTCTGAATATGATATGGACATATATAAAGTAAATAATTATTTTAATGCCTTGCACTTAACATGGTTATTTATCTATGGGCAACTCGTGGGCTTTATACTTGGTCCATTTGATTCTGTTTTTCAGGCGCTTAATCATCCAGATGTGGATTTTCTTCATGTGTTATTATTTTATTCAGACAGTGAATGTTACTTATCAAATATTTGTGGCTGTCAATTTGTTTATGAGCCTTTTTGTCACTTTGACAGAATCCATCAGAATAACAACCTAGAGGAGGAAGGTGCATTTGGCTCACAGTTTTGGAGATTTCGGTGCATGGTTAGCTGGCTCCTTTGGTTTCAGGCCTGTGGTTAGGCAGGACCAGCATGGCAGAAGGGTCTGGAGGCGGAAAGTCACTCCCCTCCTGGCGGCCAGGAAGAGAGAGTGAGAAACCTCTCTAGAGACTGTGCTAGCAGCTCTTCTTCCTTTACTTTTGTTCCATTCCAGCTGACGGTAGCGCTCTTTCCGTGCTCTCCTCCACATTCAGGGAGAGTGCCCCCACCAGCCGACTTTCCACATACCAGTCATCCGTGGAGACTCCTGAACTGTGCTTCACTGATTTCCTAGGTGGCTCTTAATCCAATCAAGGATTGAGGTTAACCGTCATGATTATTCCTGTTGCTTTAGTTTTCCTCAAATCTGTGATGTAAAATAGAATTTCATTTAATCACCTGGCAAGTAAAAAAGCTACCTTGTATGCATACTAGTTAAAATAACCTGTTGTTTAGTTAATAATTACAGAGTTTATTAGAAATATGTAAAAAATAGTACACAGTAAAAACCTTTTTTAAAATTTTATTTTAAAAAGCAAAATTGAAAAAGGATAGAAATGATACAGAATTTTAAAAATTAGTAGGAAATCAATACTAGTTAATATATTGCATATTGTTATCTTAGAAATAGTTGTTCAGGTTACAAGATCTGGGAACAAAAAAGATTAATCAAATAATGACAGTACACAATGTTCCTTTTGGTGAACTAACAGAGATTAGTAGTATAATTATCTATCTTGTATATGTACACTACATACATTTATATATGCATATCTACATACATATTATCTTTTCCTTTTCTCCTTTCCCCTATCCCAGCTGTTCTTTCCTTTTGAGAATTTTCTTTTCCTTGCATTATTATAATATCCATGTTGGTGGGAGGGCAGACTGCTGCAACCACTGTGGAAATCAGTGTAAGAATTCTCAGAAAACTATGATTGGAAGTCTTATTCAATCTAGCTATTCCCCTTTGGGGTATTTTCCCAGAAAAAATGAAAATGTCATGCCATAGTGATATGTGTGCACCCATGTTTATAGCAGCACGATTTGTAATAGCTAAATCTTGGAAACGACACAAATGCCCATCAACTGCCAAATGGATAAAAAAGATGTGGTATTTTTATAAAATAGAATATTACTCAGTTATAGAGAAGAATAATCTTGAGACTTTTATAGGTGAATGGAGGCAGTTTGAGACCATAGTCATGAGTGAATTAGATCAAACTCACATTTATTCCCTAGTGTAAAAAATAATAAAAATAAAAACCTGAAAGAGTAATATGATCCAATAGATAAAAACTCCTGTAAAGCTGTAGGATTTATACAATGTGCTCAACGTTTTAAACTAGGATTCCTATCAAACAAACTGTCACACAATAGTACCTTTTCCATGTATTCTCCTTGTATAGATAGAGGTAGATATAGATACCACGATAGATATAAATATAGAGCATTGTACAGTCAAGCCAATATTAGAACAGAATATGTAATTCTTATATTTTTGTTTTGGGCAAAGTCATGTCCAAGATTTATAGAGTCAAGGACTAAATATGCTGGTATGTCATTCTAACATTATTCAAGAACAAAAACAAGCTCACCTGTGAAATTTTTACTTGAATCAGATGTATATCAAATGCAGAGAAAGACAGTATGGAAGGTTATTGGCATTGGTTCTCACCAGGGACCATGGAGACCACGGGAGCAGGGCCATAGAATTTCCATCACTGCAGGGACTGAGCTGCAGAAGCGGAGCAGCTGGCAATGGCCCTGTGAGCTCGGAAGGCCTTGCAGGGGCCACATGCGATTTCCCTGCTAAGTCGCCATGTGTGTCCACCCGTGTGTTACTCTGTCTGGTAGTGTGGTGCCGCAGTGTTTGCCCACTGTCCAGTTACTCATAAATTATACCTACTACATAACCACAGTTAATCCACGTCAGCGTTTTCCAGATACTGTAATCTGCCCACACCATTTTACTTTTTAGATAAATATTTTCCCTAGAAACCAAATGAAAAGGACAACATGGGAGAACTGATGTAATAAGGCATTTCAAAGTGGTGACCCAGATGTGCAGAGCTTCTGGCCGGCACACCCAGACACAGACAGACAGATTTTGACAGAGAGAAAATCACAGAGAGAAATCTCCTCATACGAACACATCCACACAGTGCTCTGGATGTGACAACACGGAGTGTAGGAATGGCCATGTTTTACACAGAATATTTTTACTTGTATATTTCAAAAACAGGTGAAATCCAAGTTTTTCTTGGGCATGACACATCTGTCAAAATTTAGCCCAAATTAAAACATAAATCTCACAGGTGGAGCAAACAAGTTTAGAGACCATTTGTGGTTTTGACTGACTCTGTCTCATTTGGTCCAACAGAGTGGTGATACTCTCTGTGACACGCTCTGTTAGTTTTCCACACTGAAATTATTTAGAAGCTCTCTCTTTAAGTCAGAAGCTTTTTAATGTTGTGCAAGAAGTATTTAAAACAACTCAACTGAGAATGAATATGGGAATTAAAATTATTCTTCATTAATATGGTTAATAACAAAAGTAACCATGCCTATGAGTAAATTCTTCAGATTGCATGTACATAATTCAGTCACCTCATTTACATTAGATTGTTCCCTCTCCTAGAAAAGGTTAATTTATTAAAAAATTGGCTGAGTATTGAAAATAGTAATATTGACCATTGCGAATCACTCTTGTTAGTTTCTAACAATCAATCTTGTTAGAAAATAGTAATATTGACCATTGAGAATCAATCAATCTTATTTGCTTAGGAATCTCATGTGATTGACAAGACCTTTCAAATATTTAACTTCTATTAGACTTATATACATTTATTTTGTATTAGAAGTCTTAATTTTGTAACATGAGATTTGATCCACATTATTATTCCCATATTTTCTTTCTTGACAAATCTCATCAGAAAAGTCCTTAGATATGAGGAAATTCTTCAACTCATGGTGAAGCAACAGTTTTGCAAATTCTATTTCTTATTTGAAAGCTTGATTTTTATAATTAGTATATTCTGTTAGTTTTCTTGAAGGGACAGTTTTTTCTTATTTTAGATCAGGCACCAACCAAATACCAGGTATGCACAACCAGAGTTTGCCTGTTAGTTTTTCTTTGAAATAAAAATGGAGTTGCATGAAACATAAATCAGCTGGTTCAGTTCATAAGTCCAGTGTTCACATAGTGTTCCTCCTGGGGACAGGCCTCAGCCTTCAGAATATGCCGCAAGCACCTCATGTGTATTTACCATTTCAACACACAAAACATTCAGAAGACTTGTAGTCAAGGGTTGAGGTTTAATACAATGAGACATCTTTACTGCTGCATCAAGGATGTCCTTAAATGAATGAATAGGTGGCTTTGCCTGGCAGTACAATGTCCTCAGCTTCATGAGTTCAGTGACTAGGATTCCAGCTTGGTATCCTTGCCCTAAACTGTGCTAAGCACTGGGAATTTTACCTGCTTTATTTTACACCATCAGCAGAAATTTCAGCGCATTGTTACAAAATGAGATTTCACCCCTGGATCCTTCTCCAAGTGTCCTGGGGCTCACAAATCACATTTTGAGGACAGCAGACAAAATGTAATGCCAGGGTTAATTATTGTACGTATTTTAGATACTATTGAGAATTGTGGTACTGAAAAATTGTATTCTTTGAAACAAGTTTTAAAAGCTCAACATTTCTCATATAAAAATAATTTAAGTATATCTATGGTTTGTTAAAGAATGTTTGTTCATACACCTGGCCTACTGTTGTATTCAATACTGAAACAAATGATTGAAAACCAATTTTATAAAATTTTAACCATAAAATACAGATAAGCCTTTTGGCATTAAACCTTTTGCTATTGTAATATTACTCAATTTCAAGAGAATTAAGACTTATCTATATCTTAACATCTTGTCTTAGAAACTTGCAGGTAATATTCTGTGTTAAATATAAATGTACAAAGTAGAACAAATATAATGTACATTCAGAATAAACAGAAGGAACATATAAATTGATAGCAACCAAAAGTAAACTCAATATATTGTAATGCTGTTTAAGTAGCTGAAGTTTTAATCTGCCCAGTTTACGTGTAGTAGATGCTTGATTTGAGTGGAAAATAATTGTATCTTAGGGTTGAGTAAGCAATGAAGTCGACACAGCTCTACTCTGCCCAGAACTCTGACTTTGTATTTCCTTTCTGTTCTCTCTCTAGGTTTGATAGCTGTTGTGATCTTTATCCTGCTTTGCATCACTGCCATAGCCATCCGCATTTATCAGCAGAAAAGGTTATACAAGAGAAATGAGGCAAAAAGGTCAGAGAATGTAGACAGTGCTGCAACTGTTTTGAAAAGCGAGCTTAATATACAAAATGCAGTGAATGAGAATCAGAAAGAGTACTTCTTTTGATTGGCAGCTGTGATTTTGCTTATACCGATGAGAGTTTGTTTAATAGCCAGGGGCTTTGCAAATGGACAAGAACTGCTCTCACACTGAATGCACAGGCGATGGATTTGCAGCGCTGCCCTCTTGCCCTGTCCAGGCTCGGACGGCTCCAGGAGGCCTCTTCTAGTGACAGTCTTCTCATGGCGTCACTGTGTAACAAGGAATTAGATACTGCCCTTAATTTCCAGCTGTTCTGACATGATCGAAAACCAGTTTCACTTGCTTAGTGACTACAGTTTTTAAATGTGGGAACTGTGGTCCCGGTCTCTTAACTGTCTAATACATAAGTTTTGTTAGAGATAAAAAGTACAAAACTGGACTATAATGACCTTGCTTTGTTTGAGAACATATGCTGCGTTTGCTTTAGTCTCCCCTGGTGTTGTTCATAGACCTGGAAACGCTCCTAAGATCCTACTTGGCTGGTGTTTGCATCTTCAGTGGCCAAAAGTATATGAAGCCCCTTTGCCTTTCTCTGTACTACGCTCAATACATCAGTAGTCTGGAAAAATGTCTCGTTGTCTTTGGCTGGTTTGTACTGCTCTTTTTCTATTTGACTCTTCTTAATGATTTTGGATACATTTCGTTTTGAGTGTCCGATTTTAGCTCTGAACACACAATTCATTTGTAAAAAGACTCCGAGTACAGTGGTGTCCATATATGACATCTTACCTTTAAAAGCTTTCTGTTTTATTTGATATCATTGTTTGATGGTGACAGTAATTAAGAGTAATTCCAATTTCCCAAAGACTGTAAAATGTTTTCAATTAAATGTGTTGATTCTATAGAAAAAACAATTCTTAACACAGCAAAAATTATTTTTTAATTACAACTGTAATACCTCGAATGAATACACTTCTGAGAATATTTTCCCCAAACTTTATGTCAGTTGTTTTGTAGGTTTGTATTTTTGATTTTCTGCAGTTTCCCATCAGCTTTTCTTTGGTCTCCCATGACTACGTTCCATGTAGTACCTTTTAATATGTTAGAAAAAGGTAACAAATTGAACTATAGAGCCCCATTTCCTATGCTAAAAATTCTAACTTATGTACTCCTTGAGGCATGAACTTCCAATACACATTATTTGAAATATGAGCTGCAACTATGCCCCTTGTCCTGTACAACCAGTAACCTAATTAAAGGGTGTCCTTTGGAAGGAAATAGCATATTACATAATCCACACTAAACCTCTCCTTCCAGTCACTTCTCTTCTAGAATGCTGAAGTTCATTTCTCAGAAAGTACCAACAATCTATGAGGTCCACTAACTAGGGCATTCTGACTAGAATGCACATATCCACTAGGAGATTGAGGAATTATAAATAACATTATAGAGCTGTTACAATAATTAATTCTGAAGCCATGTAAACATGATACTTGCTTGGAACTGTCTCTGGATTCCAAGAGACAATTAAATAAGAAAGGCACTTTGCTGTCCGCGCTCACACCTCCAAGTGCCTCCCAAGTGAATTAGGGTCCTTCGCTTGTATATACTAAAAGATTTGGAAATATGTACGTTCACTGTTACTATCCTCTAATTTTCTAGTTTACAAAACTTGTCTGTCTTTCTCATAGCACTAAACCCATGTTAATGTTCCTGTAATGCCTGACTGACTTTGAAGGGGATGAATTAGAGTAACAGTTCATGAAGGACTTATGTTGGTAAACGACGTATATTTTGTTTTAAATTGGCAGACCTGTGGTGCCAAGGGAAAGATCTAACGTAGAGACAGTAGTGTTTATTCAATGTAAAGATGAATGCATCCACCATCACAGCTCTAAATCTGTCCAAGTATTTGTTTTATGTAGTGGCAGTATTAACCTTGTTGGTAGCTAAAGTGTAGACAGGTTTGCAGATGGTGAAGCTCTGTAGCCCTTTGTAATTTGCATTGCTAGAGGTTGCAGCATTTTGATCAGAATGCACTGACACATTATAGACCACGGTTTTGATTTGTTGATTTGTAATCAATTACTTTCTTTCTCTTAATAAAAAGCATTTTCAAAATAAAATGCAGAATATATTTTAAGAGATGTTGTATAAAATTTTAATGTTAGGAAATTACAATTGATTTCTCTTAAAACAGTAAAAAGATATATAGACGTATGCTTCTTTACTAATGTGGATGCGTGTGTATATGTGTGTGTGTGTGCCTGTGCATGTTTAATCCTTTTGAAAGATTTTGTGATTATTGTGGACCATTGACAAATGCTGCAGTTATGTATTTTTCCTTTTAAATCAACCAAAAAATGAAAGAAAAATAGAAAAACATTTGATGATTGTAACAGGTGAAATCAAGTTGCAGCAGATTTAAAGTTTTGCCAGGGAACAATGATGTGGCTGTCAGCAGTTGTTGTGGGAAGGTTCCTATGTATTTAAATTGGATGATGTCTTTTCTATCTCTTCTCTTCAGTGAGCTTGGCCAGTGAATAAAGTATAAATGCACAAATGTTATACAGGAAAATACATTGTAGCTTACTATAATTTAACACTGAAAAAAAAAAGCTTTCTGGTGATTTCAAATGAAGGACTGAAAGCCATACACAATTAACATTCTTATTTCAAGGTGACTGTACTGTCCCAATATCATGAAATTAAGATAAACACTATGTAAACAGAGAGCAATTAATGTGGCATTGAAGGCACACCTGCATGAGTCGGGGTTATCAGTGGAAGCGATGTGTTCATTTTGTTGAAATAGTCCTCATCCACTCTAGACTACAGCTTCATCTTTATCCACTCCCAAGAATTGTGCTTTAAACCATACTTAGTACATTTTTCAGACATAGCTTAAAAGCAACAAACAATCAAAAACGTAATGATGAGTAACCTGAGAATACCAGAGAGAAGTTATCACTTAAAACTATCTTCCATTAGATGGTATTGTCTTTCAGGATAACAGAGTCACAGAATTCTCTTGCAAGATCGGAGAGTGCTGGTGTCCTTTTCAGCCAGACAGCTCGGTTTAACAGATGAAAAGCACATAATGCACTTAAATGATCTTCTTAGGTGGACAACAATAACACGTGTGTGTGAGTTCAATCATGTGCATGTGTGTGTGCACATAATGAAGCTGTGACTTCAGTGTCTCTTTTTATTCTGCATCTTAATCTTCGCATTTCCAAAATCTGAAATTTTGACAACTACTTAGTGGTATAGAAAAAAATCTAAGCTATTTTGATTGTCTCCTTGTTCAAAATGACTTACGGTTTTAGACCCTATCCACTGTCCAAGTATGTGAAGATCAGCCTCTATTTAATCAATCATTGGCCTTGATAGATTATTTTTTTGAAAATCGTTTAATAAGTTCATGGTCCTTGGTTCCAAGAAAGACAATTCTAAGTAAAGCACTTTTGTATGAGTTTTGTGAAATCTACCAGAGATTGCGTGAGTCATCAAATATTCCCACCTGATAGAAGAATGAATTGAACACATTCTGCATCAAAGTGCGTCCAGTGGATCTTTGGTTTTCAAACTCACATATCAGCTAAATGAGATGCCTTCAATATATTCTTCAGTTCTTCAACATCTGGATGATAGAGTGATAACCAGGAAGAAAAAGTTCAGAAACCAAGTGTCAATGTATTGGGGGTGTGTGTGGGTGAACACATTTATGTATCTAAGAAAGAAAATCAAATGAAGATAGAAGGAATACGCTCGAATATAACATGGTAAGAAGTCTTGGATTTCAGTTTATCAAGTTTTCCTGGACTTTGTTTTTGAAAATTTGTAGATGACAATAACTTTGATTCAAAATTATAGTGCTTTTCTAGTGTAATCATTAAAAAATTCTTTTTCATTTTTAACATCATGCTTATGTTTTATAAAAACCACATGACTAGGGGCTGGGGATTTAGCTCAGGGGCATAAATGCCTGCCTTGCAAGCAGGCAGTCGTGAGTTCGATCCCTGGTACCGATAAAAAGGAAAAAGACAAAAACAAAACCAAAAAAAAAAAAAAAAAAAACTACATGATTGTGCTTTAAAAAGTCAAACAGCTTACCAGATCTTCCCAGGAGGAAGAGCTCTCCGTTGCCCTTCATCTCCATCAGTTTCCATACTTCAGCTCGTCTCTTCTTAGCTGCTTCCATGGTTGTCAGTAATGAGATGTTGCAGTTGGGTTCCCTGGAAAGCACGCTTTGAAAGGAAAGTGACATGAAGAAGTGTGGAAGGGAGTGCTGTAGAGCTTTGTGTGAGAAAGGATAATGAAGCAGGTGGGGACTCAGGCTGCAGTGCCATCATGACAAGTGCCAGCTGATTCTGCTGGAGTCACTGTAGAGATCCTCTGAGTCAAAGTGAAGGGCTGAATGTTTATATTCTTCAGAGACCAAGCAGTGCACACTGGCTGCCTGGGTACATGGGATGAATTGAGACACCTGGCTCTGTCCAAGCTCATGCAGTTCCTGAAAAATGAGACCACGCTTGCCTGAGAACTAGAGAGAATAGTTAAGTCCTGAAACAGGTCTGGTGGCACAGAACAGGGACTCTGAAGGTGCCTGTGTCTGCTCAGTTCTACCTACTCCATGTGTGTTTTGAGAGCAGAAGCACTGGGCCTTTAAAGAGCTACTTCCTGGGGACATAAATGAGGAGGAGGGTGGAATAAACCACAGATCCTGCCCTGTAGATGCGTGCTTGGTACTCACCCTCTCCCTCCAGTACCATCCAACCAGGTTCCCATAGCTCAGCTGACCACACTACAAACAGCTTGAACCTTTGTTTGTCTTCTCTAAGCTTCTCAAGTTGTAGCTACTGTACTTTTTTATTTACTATTAAAATTGGCCAAATGATTATCTCTGTCCCAAATGCATGCCCCTTGGCCCCATGGTGTAACAGCAGCTCTTTCACTTATTGTTCTAAGAGACAAATTCCCCTGATAAAGCCTTTGTGAAACAGTGCCCTACACAAGGGTTCACAGTACAGCAGAGATTAAATGAGAAGACACATTACTAGATGTGCTGGTGCCAGCAGGGTGTCTCTGCTCACCCTCCCTGGGTAGTGTAAGATTTTGCATTGCAGGCAGTAAAGACAACTCATTCCAGAAAGAAGTGATGATTTGAACCAAGACCAATCTCTATCTTTCAGAGCAGAAGGGATCTCATATGGTCAACTTGCCACAAAATTTATCTGCCTGTAAAGGAAACCATTTTGGAGAATGAATGCTGGCCTCTGTTGCTGACCATTTGAAAGTGGTAGTAGCTAGATCGGTCCTGTTGAGGGGAAGCCTGTGCTACTTGAAACCACACATAGCTTCCGCTCCTGCCTCCATCACTACTCTGTTGTGTCCATTGTATGAGCGACTTGGTGACCAGTAACTGAGAATGGTTGATACCAGCCGCTCACATCATTCTGTCTGCTTGGTTATCTAGGAATTTTTCCATGTTAGCACAGGCTGGAAAAAATTCTTTGTGTTTCATGCCTTCTTCCATATCCAACTACATACGTTTACCTCAAATCTCCTTGTCTTTGATCTTCCAAATCTCCACCTGCATTCTTTACAGCTAGCCAATTCACTGACCCCAAAAAGTCCATATAAATTATAATCTTGCAGCGTTTCTCAAAGTGAATGAGCAGAGAGACCACCCAAGAATCTGTTCATTTTGTGTGTGTTTGGAGGGCTGGGACATCCACACTGTGATGCCACCCTGTTTAGAGCAACCTTCCATTTTCAGCTTGTTCCCTAATGCTGAGCTCAAAACATCCAGGACAAGTTTAGAACTTTCCCTGCTGCAGAAGTTGGTAATAAGGGACCCTTCATGAAGCCCTGGGTGTGCGCTGAGGGAAAAGCCCTGGTAGGACAATGGTGGAGAGCCCCAGGGTGCAGCCTGTGCTTTGTGTGCAGCTGTGCTCTCCTGGGTCTCACATGCCCCACTTTGTGCTGCTTTCTGCTGGGCTCAGTGAACTCTATGCCTTGCTGGGTTTGACAGAACCCTGCCCATTCCGGGTGACTCTGCCCACACTTAGTGTTTCATAATAATGATCTTCATTTCTAGGTGGGCCCAGTAGCATGCCAGGAGCCTTTCTGGAAGCAGTAGATTTCTCTGCTGAGGATGAAATAAATGGTTTCTTCAAAGCAGATTTCCAGTGAGCTAGACTAGGGAAAGGATAGATTTTCAGATCAGTAGCCACATACCACATTTTGGACCCTATACCACGTAAATAGACTCTTCAGAAGTGCTCTTTGGCACAACAGCTGTGATTGGGACTTCTGTTTGACACTGTGCTGCTCGCTTTCCTTCTCAGCATTGTTTGGATCCTTCAAGAGCCTGACCAGTGAATTAACTGGAGATGCTTTAGAGACCGCTGCATGCTTCACCCATTCAGGGTAGCACTAGTCTGTGTTCTCTTTCCCTAGCATAGATGTTTTTTTTTTTGGCCAATGGGGCAGCAGTGGGATTACTGTTAGAGAATTCCTCTAGGGCTGTCTTTGTGTGACAGGTCTTCTTACCTTGCTTTATTAGCTAACCAGGGGAAGTGGCGAAGTAGCAACACTGGGGATTTCTATTCCACTTGTACTTTTGAAATGACCACAGCTGTGTCCACTGGCTGAGTCTGAGACAGAACTCCACTTATTTTCAATATAACTTTACTCTTAGAGGAGCTCTTATAGACTCAGCCACAGTGTCCGAGACCCTCCCCTTTCTCCACAGTGTACAATTCTTATGTGGCTGGCATTCTCTTTGGCAAGGACTAGTGAATCACTCACACATTTACCTTCTATGGTAGTACAGCGTCTTTCTTCCAAGACTTAGGGCATATGTTTCCGTCAGTAGATTCTAGGTTTGAATATTGGCTTGTGTTCAGAAACAATGGATTGTGATTTAAAAAAAAAAAAAGAAAGAAAGAAAAATACTCCAGAAAATTTGGAACTATAACATGTTATTACTATCTAATCCCCAGACCTCATAGATTTACCAATTTTCCTAATAATGTCTATTATAGCAAAAAAGATCTAGTTCAGAATCACACGTTATATTCAGCTATCACGTGTTTGTACTTTTCCTTGGTCAAAAATAGTTCCTCAGACTTGCATGATTATAATGCCCTTGTGAAGGTCATAGACTACTTATGTAAGCAAGGCACGATATTTGAAGACCTTGAGAATTACTTTCCAGGTGCCAAGGGCAAAGGCCAGACTTTCTTTTGAGCCAAGTTAATTTTTTATTATGCACCATTTTATTTCTTCTTTCTTTATAGAACTTTTTTTTATAGTTGAAGAGTTTCAATTTCTGTGTGGCTTTGTCTATTTTCCATTTTTGGCTACAGCTTGAAAAAATTTTTTTCAACTTTATTCTCATAATGCTTGATTTTGTTTTTGTATTTATAAAACTTGTATAATTGTATTTTTCAGTTTCTTGATTTATTTCACCAATATACTAATTTATATTGTCTCTGTTATTACATCATGTGTAGCTTTTTAAAAATTTCTTTTTCCCACTATGTAGTCTTTTCCCCCTAACTTTTCTTTTGTAAAGGCAGGTATTTATTATTGGTTTGTTTTTATGTTCTTTCATGGAAGACTTCTCAAATGTCAGATTATCTTTGGCTGCCATCTAGATGAAACACTTGATTAGAAGCTGTATATTAGATGAGGCTTTCTGAAACTGACCTCCTTAGAAAGAGTTTCTAACTCTCACATTCTAAGAGGGCAAGAAGGTTCTTATAATTCTGCTTATGGACTCTTATTTAATTTCCCCTTTATTATTTTTCTATTGTTTCTGTAACAAATCATGGTGACGTAGTTGTTTAACACTACAAATTCGCCACCTTTCACTATTGTACTTTGGAATTTCAAAGTGTGTCTCACTGGGCTAGGTCGCAAAGAGACAATATAGAAACCTTTGTTTGTTTTCTATTAGCAGGTTCTAAATACCCTGTAATTCTTGCATTCTCTTGAAAGGCATCACACTGTCTAGATATACTTGATATTATAGCATGCAAAGTTACACTGAAATAATTTGAAAGAGGCACTATGGCGACTACTATTATGTTAGATTAACTGGTGGTGAAACACAATGATGCTTGAATTGCTAGGTTCTGCCCTGCGTTGTTCTATTACAGTGTCCTCTCTTACCTCAATCTTCCCCCTATTTTTAAATTAATCTATCTTCTCTCATTTTTTTAATTAAGGGAAAACTAAATTAAAAAATAACACGACATATTATAGTAACTTTTTTGTTGTCCTATTAACCTGACTTGAACCCCAGTATTGCTCTCCCCATCTGGTTCCGTCTGATTATTATATATTCTATTTTGTTTGATAGTATCAAGTTTGAGGGTATAGGCAATCACTTTGAAGGCAATAAGATATACTATGATGCCCAATATGGATTGACTCTTACCCTTTTTTTTTTTGAAGTCCTATAAGGTCCTCAGTGTACATTTTATTGGTTTTGTTCCACACTGTTTTGATCAATTCTATTATACCTGATGATATAGACAACTCAATTTAAAAATAACAAGAGGCACAATGGTAACCACTTTTGATCAGCTGGTATTCTATTTTTGCATCACGTGCTATGCCCACCCTTCTGTTCTAACTGACTCTGTTTTGCTTAGTCACATTTGGTTTTATTTTCTTCAAAAAAGTAATAAGAACCGTGAGAGTAATAAAACCCTAAAAGTCTAATTGTTACTGTAAAAAAGAGAGGAAAGTAAGGTGGACTAAGGGATATAACCGCAGGTATGTTTGAGTGTGTAGGATGGAAAACCATATAAGTGAGCTTTTGTTGGATCATTGAATGGAACTGTCTCCAATTTCACTGTATGAATGTCCACTTTATATGCTTTGATTTAGTGACATGGACAACTGTTTCTGGGAAGATAATATGTAACCTATTAACTGGTGATTTTGTACTGTATATATTTTTTTCTAGAAATACTGTATTATTTGTACCCTTTTACTGCATTTTTTTATGTCTTTTTTTTTTCTTCTTTTTCTTCTCTCTTTAAATTAGGAAAAAAAAAAAAATCAATGGGTCGGCAGGCTTGTGTTCCCTTGTGAAAACTCATCAGTTTCTTGCCTTTTCAGCATCTATTCATTGCCCATATTCCTCGGTTCCTGGTCCCCTTCCTTGAATTTCAAAGTCAGGAAAAGCGGGCCAAGTCCTCACACTGTGCCAATCTGACCTTTACGGCCTCCCTTCCCCCTTTAAGGACCTTAGAGATTACACGGGGCCTCTAGTCAAGGCAATCCAGTGATCCAGGGTAACCTCCCTGTTTCAGCACCAACTAACTGGTGTGTTTTCATTTCATCTCCACCTAGATTCCCTTTGCCGCTCCCTAAGGCAACAGATTCACAGGTGTCAGGGACCAGGAAGTAGCCAGCTTTGGAGGACACAGCTCGGGGTGTTTTATCCCCATTTTCTGTCACTTGCTTCATCTAGCTGGGCCTGATGTACTCCAGCTCCTTTCTGTTTGATCTTTCCAGAAGGAGATCAGTGCTCCGGTGTTTCTTTCTACTTCTGTGTGTGAAATCCTGATGAAGTCACTGCCTGTTCCTGGATTTCCTAGTCAGGGTGTAATGTGCAGTCCATTTCTTTACATCATTCACCCTCAAATAGTCAGTGAATCTGCCAGAACGGATCTGGGCTCCTGCCATGGCTCTGGCTTCCTGCCTGCTCTTTCTTGTTTCTCCTGAGAAAAGACTGGAAAGTCTCATCCTTGACTGGGTCTGTGCTTTCTTATTATCTCTCTGAAAATTAGGAGCCTCAACAATTATTTTTTGAAAAGCCATTGAATGATTCATTTCTATTTTAACAAGCCAGGAATTAGCAAAACCAGTTCATATCATAACTCTTTGTGTCATGCCAGACTAATCTGTGTTCACTCTGAATGAAATGAGTTCCCTATTCCGGATGCTGATACTAGACATGACTTTATGCCCTTTACATCAACACATTTGCTTGTAATCTGTACATGTGATAAACTTTCTGTAAATTATGTTTCTGTTGGAGGAATTCATGTTTTCATTCAAAATAAAGTGTTATAAATGATTCATGTTTCTCTGTATTTTCAAGAGGAGCAAATTAATTTTTTAATTGAGCAGTGAAATGAACTGTTCTTCCAAAATGCATATTAAAAGAAGATAGTTACAAATGACAGTGAGGGCAGAGAAAGACTTTGAATTATTCTTTCATTTGCTGAGTGTATTTGGCCAACTTTTCTGAGTAGAAATTTATAACACTCAATAAATTATTGGAAAGCACTATCTCTTCAAATGAGATTGTAGCTATTTGAAAGAAAATAAACCAGATAGAACAACAGCAACAACAATGACAACAACCACATTTTATTATATAAAAATCTCAGACAAGATACTGACCAATTAATTGACAATTAGGTAAATTCTTATACTAAAAACTATTGGTGAGAAGGCTGATAGTTTTATTTAGTTATTTAAACTGACAAACTTATTAAGTACAACATAGTGTTTTTAATAACACATGCTATACATATAGTAGAATGACTAAATAGCACTAACATATACATTACCTTCCCTAGTTCTCATTTTTATGGTGAAAACATTTTAAAATCCACTTGGGATTTTTCAAGAATTTTCTACTGCATCTCATTGCACAGGCACAAAGTTGCAACATGAGCATGAGCGTGTGTTTCACACAGGTAACCTACTGTGCCAGATTACTTATAGATATCACATTCCCCTATTAAGAATTTCGCTTTTGGGTAAATTGCGTCATTGATTTAAACATAATCTTGACCTGGCCCTAGTCTCAGCTAGGGCCCCAGTAGCTCTACTTTTTTTGCACTAATATTCTTTCAGTCCCATCCAGTTTACTTCCCATTCACCTCCTGCTCTTATTTGCATAGATTTTTTATTTGTTCTTCCTCTACTGTAAATTTTTTCCCCTCAGATTCATTAGTTGACTCATTCCATTGTTTTGAGCATCTTTTGTCAGCACAGCTTTTCCTCATCTCCCATTTCTAAGGCAAATTATTAGAACTCCCCCCTCCTCCAGCATCTGCCTGCCGGCTCCGTGGGTCTGCACCAGTGAGGTCAGCAGAGGGCTCTCTCTGTTTCACGTTGTTTCATCACCAAGCACAGGGCCTGATGCGCAAACTCAATAGAGTTAATTCAATAAACATTGATTAAACAAATAACTGAAACGTGTTGTTTTCTGTGCATAATTAAAGGGTCAATTTCTGGGGATGCACCTCAGGAGAAGGAAAAACTACTATAAAGAGTAAGTATCTTTGTCTCTGGAATTTGAACATTTATTGTACTATTTAAATGCAACTTCCACTACTAGTTAAACAAATTAACTCCTCTTCCACACCAAACGTCAATAAATATATTCCCAAAGATTTTTTTAAAATCCAAGTGTCTTGTGTAATACTACACTTAAAATCAACCTCATTTTACTTCTTACAAGCAAGCAAAAGGAACAAAATACAAATGTTTGCTGGGGAAACTTTGTTTTCTGGTTGCAAATCTCAGGTCATCTAGTTCTTTTATTTTCTCTCACTGAAACATGTTTGCCTTCTCCCTATTTTTTTACATTCTATAAAAGAGGGAAGCTACGGTCATTCATTTAATTTTATCTGTTGTGTGTTACCAAAGCATTTATGTAGAACTGAAAGTTGGTTGATCAACAATTATGTGATGTAAATTACTTTATAGTTCATGCCAAATCTACACACAGGGTAGTCACAATTAAAAACAATGTTACAAGTATTTGACTTATTAGTTTTAAAGAGTACAGTTTATATATAATAGATTAGACAGAGCAATTTTGTTTGGTTTGAAAAATTGATTTGAAATCCATTTAGATTTTGGGGTAGCACGCAGAGCCAGAGAAAGAGAGTGAGAGAGGCAGGGTGGAGGGAGAGACAGAGAGAGAGAGGTGTGTTTGTAAGCTGCCAGTGGTTTCAGTCTCAGGACTGAAACACCCTCCCTGCTGCGGTTTCCATGGGAGTCAGCCTGACTCCCTCTGAAAGTGACTCTGGCAGATAGGGTGATTGAGGGTGATTGCTTTCACTTACTTGATGAAAACTGGTGGAAATATAGGCATCCCTTCAGTAATCTTTTATGCAGCTTGCTAAGTATTGCTTTTGTTTTTAAATGGACATTTACTACCTATTTAGAACAATCAAATACCTCAAAGCAAACATTAAGCAAAATGTGGCCTATCTATCACATACCCTGCTTTCTCTTGATAGTAACAACCAGGAATAGCCCATTACATGGCAAATTCTACATTTTTACAAGTTGCTTTATAGATTCACTTTGTGATCACTAATAACCCTATTTAGCAAATATCTAATTAAGGAAACCTTAATGAAAACCAATTAGTCAGTACTCTAAATTTATGAAATTTTATTTTTGGAGTGCCAAAACGTGTTTTAAACAAGTTGTGTTATATATATTAGTGCTAAAAATGTCACTCTTGTGCAACACCAATTTACCCACAGTGACATTAAGGGGCAATTAACATTTTAAATTGTGTGCTGCACTTATCAGTGACTTCTGTGTGATTTTACTTATCATGCAGAGTATAAACACATGTATGATAAATGCATTTTATTAGTAATTAGGCAGAACTTTATCAACAGGCCTTGCAAATTACATGAGCACGTGTGTCTGCTCATGCACTAGCAGCAGCTTTTGGGAGAAATTCAAATGTGTACTGGGAAAGAAAAAAAAAAAATATATATATATATATCCCTGTAGTGTCTATGGGTTAGTTTGCAAATGCACAAAAATCAATGGGTCCACATGAAACTGCCATGTCTCTAGCTTTTAAAAACATGTTTGTCTTGAAATAATTTTAGATTTATTCAAAAATAATAAATCTGGTTGAGTTTGCATTTACCTTGTGCCTGGGTTCCATATTTCAATTATGAAAAGCAGGAAATCAATATTAATTACAAAACTAGAAATCATATGCATATTTCTCATTTCCCCCATTGTGATTACCTGGTTTTCTATAGAATATAATTCAGTGTCCCTGATGGTAATTAGTCCCTGAGACTTTTTAACAGCCTCCCATGATTGAGAGTCCCTTAATCTTTTCTTGTCTTTCATGACCTTGACAATTCAGATTCCTAACATAACTACTCAGTTATTTTGTAAAATATCATACAATTTGGGTTTGCCTGGTATTTTCCATTAAATCAAGCTTCAGCAGTTTTTGGCAAGAATTCCCCAGAATGATGCCCTGTTCTTCTTGATATGTGGTATCATTGAGTACCTATGTCAATGGGTCCTATTCCTCGTGATATGGACCCTAAGCTCTTGGTCAATGAAGTGTCAGATTTCTTCTTTGTAGTTTACTTTCAGCCTGTGTTATAGCCTGTTTCTTTTCAAATTTTCACTTGCTGATTTGGGTCTTCATTGGCAGACCTTTCAAATATTATTATAGTAGTGAATCGCTAATTGCAATTTTGGATTTCTCTTATTCCTTTTCCACATTTACTGATTTGATATTTCTCTACAAAGAGCAGTCCCTTGTGAGTGATCAATGATTTATCCAATTACTATGCATGTTACAATAGACACATGGAAATTTATTTGACTCTGTAAATTATAATCAAATGCTGTGGCTGAGCATTGCTTGGCTTGCTCTTCTCTTTAGCCTCCTCAGCAAGACCCCTAGGTATAGCATTTAGAGGGACACAGCATACCACGTGATCAAGTTAGCTGTCTCTTTTTTTTGTTAAATAAGTGAAAATGTGAATACTGATACTTAGTTATTCCACATGAATTTTTTAGTTTCAGAAAAAAAAATCCTACTTGTTAGTTCCTCAAGGTCTTTCAATGCTTTCCTAGAATTATGTTAAATTTCTTTCTATACTTCATCCATGTCGTTGTCTGTCTCCCTGAATAGCTTTACTTTCATAGAAACCTCTGTGGTTGTCTGGTGGGCTGGTTGCCCTTTTGTTGGTGTTACATCTTTTTAAGGATGGAATTTTGTTTTAAATCTGCTCAATGTTGCTCAGTTCCTTCCGGCTTTAGGAGGGTGAAATCCAGAAAATGCAGACATGTAGCAGTCTGTGGCGCAGCCAGACCCCCCGAGGAAATCTCTTCTCTGCACTAAAACTCAGAATATAAAGGACACCATCCAAATGTTAGGTCACTCTCAGCTTCTCTTCACACAGCCCTTTACCCTGTGCGGATGATTCATAGAGTTCAAATTTTTTCCCTGAAGTTTTCCTAGGCTGGTTAACCCCTGTGAACTTCAACTCAGAAGCTCAGAAGTTTCCAGATTCATCTCTCCTGGCGAACTGGACCAACAACTCTCTGCTTCAGCACTAGTGATGGGCTAGAATTAGCACACGGAGTGGAAACTACTAGGGACTTAACAGCCAACCACAGAATTCAAACAAAATAGCTTTACTCCAAGGTGCTCCTGCACAGGGCCTTCGAAATGCAGAGCATCGTTTATCTGCCTGGATAATTGTGCTTACAATGCTAATGAGCAAAAAACAAAACTAAACTAAACAAAAACAAAAGAAAAACCATCTACCTTTCCTATTATCTGATTCCTAGAAGACCAAAACACTGTAAAGGCTAGTACAAGAAACATGGAGGATGGAATTGAAGACAGGTATCTTCATCATCACAGCAATCCTGGTGAGATGCTTATGAAAGCCCTTAACTGACTTATATTTTTGGGTGGCCTTGCCTAATGGAAAAGAAGCCTTGATTATATCTGTGCCAACCAAGAGCATGACTTTTGCTGGTAAAATGAAGACTTCTCTTAACAAAAGTCTGTGAGAAAAATGGAAGTACCAAGAAACTGGAATTTGATGGAGTGCCTTTCCATTACAGAGAAAGGACTGTTTCTGGGAAGATGTGACAGTAAATGTAGGAACAATTACAAGAAGTATTTATGAAATTTGGCTCTCATAAGCAAGAATACATAATAATATAGGACCTCAGAAAACAAATTAAATTACTTATAAAGTCATACCTATGAAAAGGGGCTTTTTTAAACTAAAAATGGATTTCAGTATCTTTAATCCATAAAGATAAAAGAGGTCTGCAGAAAATCATGCTCATCATCAAAGGAGGAGTCAGAGCTAGAGTCAGGTAGGAGAGTCTGATTCTTGTTCAAATCACTCAACAAAAAGAGGGAGTAGAAGAGTGAACTGGCAAATCAGACAACTACTGTCTGCCTAAAGGAAAAGTTAACCATAAAAGGCATCTGTTTGCTTGCCAAGTCTACTACCCTGAAATATATCTTGAAAACCAAATTAACACAAAAGTTATTTACACACACCTGTCTAACAGTGACCTGTGTTTATCTTCTGCTTGTAGCATGACCTGTCTCCTCTTAGGTACCATTTGACAAGATATCTGAAAAATCACAGTGTCCTTAAGAAATCTAATTAGACTTTTCAATGAGCCTCTTTGGCTTTCGAGCAGGTTTTATTGAAAATACCCTGGAGATGGAAGACTGTTATCGATGCTCTCCTGGGGAGAATGAGTAGATGTCCTCTTCCCCTAGACCACAGCTTCATTCACATCTGGGTCAAAATCACCACTAAATAACTCAGTGCATTTCCTGCCTCTGCGGACTCAGGAGAGATAAAGGATCCATTGCCTTTAAATATACCAGAGCTGCTTCTCAGAACAAGTGAGAACGATCTTTGGGCTTTTATTAAACTCAGATGCTAACATAAAAGTCAACCCACAAACAGAACTCGTACTTAGTGTACAATTTTGCATATGAAAGGCACCTGTGAGAGAGCTGATTCATTATGAAGGAGGCCAAGTGAATGTATTTGACACCCTCTCTAAGCACCAACAACTTAGCCCAGTGTTCTTGTACCTTTCCGTACTTGACATGAAAAGTAACAAACAGCAATTACAGCTCTGCTGAGCCTTTGAACAGCAATTCTCAGTCATTTTTGCAATGGGTTTACTTATTCAGGACACGGGCACATTATCACGCGTGATTTTTAAATTATATAATTATCTTAAGTGAGATTTTTTAATGTGGTAAAATTGTAATCCAATAAAATCTCAATGAATTATCAAAATAACTTATACCTGAATATTTCTTTTAATTAATCACATCTTAGCAAAATCTCTCTTCATATAATTTTCCCATAAGTATTTATCTTAAGGGAACACAATGACAAATCGTTCACTTTGATGGCGGAACACACAAAAGTTATACACAACCTACTTAATAAAGGAGCAGCCCCAAGCTGCCTGCTTTTTCAAGAGGAAGATGAGAACAAAGGCACTGCTTCTTCTCCAGTACACAACTCCACAATGAGTCTGAACTGTGAGGACAAATGTTTTATTCCAGTCACTGGTAAGGAGCATGACTAGCAGATAGGAAACCAGAGGAAGTAAGGCAGTGACATGGGGCAAGACTGACACTGAGCTAGCACCCAGCTCAGCCCACAATCACACAACCAGGCTCTCAGCACAGGGGCATCCGGCCAGATACTCAAGAGATGCCGGTCATGCAGAACCCAGGCCAAACAGAGGAAGGTGCTGACACAGAGTCAGACCCTGGCTCACCAGGGCTGGCTGCTGGTGCCCCGGGTGGCAGGCAGGTAGGCAGGCAGACAGAGAGACAGACACACACACCTCCAGTGGCCAACCGACCTGCCACATTCCCAGCCTTGGCTCCCCTTCTCCTCCCCAACACTTTGCTCACCAGCATAGATAGCGCAGATGTTACTGCCAGGGTAGATGGCGCAGATGTTATCCCCAGCGCGCTCTGCATGAAGGACACCAGGGCTGTCATCACGCCCACAGTAGCTGACAGCACCTCCATGCTGCCATACCGTGAGTGTGAGTAGATGGGCTTGCCAGCCTTGCTCAGCCAAACACATGCTTCTGTTGGCGGTGCCAGTCCTTGTCACTGGGGTCCCTGCCTGGCCCTCACAGCCATTCTATGGACTACCTAGTTCTCCAAATCTCACTGGCCCTCTTCCCCCACTGATTACTATTAATACACATTAACATTTGGTTCCTTAGCAACCCCCAAATCCTCTACTGATTCTTCAATAATGCAGACACTCAGTGCTCAGTACTCTCCACTGATTTCCTTTCCCATCGCAATGATTTTATACCCCAGTGTCCTCAAATACTTAACTTCTAAATAGTTCCTCCTTTGTCCTTATTCGTGTTCATTAACATAAATACCTTATGCCCCCAGTGGTCCTCTCTGACACCAACCAGACTCTTGCTGACTGTCAGTCACCTGAACTCACACCAAATACATTCTGGTTTGCCCAGAACTGAGAGGTTTCTGGGATAAGGGTCTTCCAGTGCTAAAATAGTTATTTTCCTGGACTAACAACTACACAAATGAGTCTACTATTACACCCTCCTGACTTGGCTAAGGTTCAAGCTACTTCCCCGAATTCTCAAAGACTATTCATTGACCTTCTACTACTCTTTTCCCTTGCCCAACGTGTCCTCCCCCATGAGGGCTTTTCTTCCAAGACCCTAGAGAGGAGAGCATAAATCTGTTTCCTCCAGGTCCGAATCTCCGGGGTCCGGTAGGCCCGACCGAACTCCACCAGCTCCAGTCTCCTCACTAGGGAACTGCGTGCCCTCCATGTCCTCTGTGTCCCTGGGGGCTGGGGCAGCAGCAGCGTCTCCGCCGGCCTCCATCTGCACAACCCTGGGGGAAGGGGAATCGAGGGTGACAGGCAGCAAAAGAAACTTCTCAGAAGCCCTTACAGAGCCAGGTCCCCTGGACATATTTCCAGCGCTGGTTTCCCCCACGGCTTTCAACGGGATGAGCCATTCAAAATCGTGTCTAAATACTTGCACCCTCCAACGCTTTCCGCAGAGAGAGGCTCTAGTAGCCGGAGGGAAACAAGGATACATAAACACCTGTTTTAAGCCTGTATCTCAACTGATCCTGACTCGGAAGCCAGGAGCAGCACCACACTTCCGGGTGCCGCTGAGGTTCGGCCACACTTCAGAAACGACGCCTCACAGATGACACTTCCGGTTACGGAGCTTCAGTGGCTCCCCGCGACACTTCTCTGCCGCAGCCCCCTCACCGTTACGATGGAGCACGCCTCTCCAAGTTCTACTTCGGATCGATTCTGGAATCCAGCGCACCCTTTTGAACTCTCCCAAGGAACCTGCTGGAAGTCGGAAGCCAGGCGAGAGCAGCCCACGTCTTTCACCCTAACTGCAGGCCTGAGGGGAGCGCGGCTCGCATTCAGCCAATCCTGGCGCACAGAGGGCGGGCCTTTCTTCTTTTGGCCCAATCCGGGGGAGTCTCTCGCTTCCTTCCGTCCAGCCCATATCGTCCCCAGACCTGTACTTGGCATCTGCTAGTGACGTCTCACTGGGCCCAGAAGGCTCCAGCTTTTTTCTCTTCTCACTTGAGGACATTTACAGCCTAAGCCGTAAAGGATACTCGCGCCGGTCCATAAACGTGCTCCCCCAAAACTGCGGTAATTTAATTCTTTAACCTCCAAGAAAGGCTGGAATGGGTGAGACTCTGTGGTGTGGAGGATTCTTGACGAGCAGTTGTTGCGTCCAATCGAAGTGCGGCGCGCAGTCTGGTTGGCCAATGGAACTCGGATCCTAAAATAAGAGGCGGACCTCCCGGAAGTGGGAATTACTCCTGAATCTCCGCGATCAGCCTCAGTGTTCAGCGGCCCTGGAGCAAAGGAAGCTCGACCTCCGGACACTCTTGTGGCACCGAGAATGGAGTTGTGAAAGTAAAGGTGCAGCATGTACAGTGTTTATCCAGATGAGTAAAAGTTCGCCCTGACATCACTTGTTAAGTAAGGTGGGGTTGTAGGCGGAACTATCAGATTAGGCCTTCCAGGCCTAACGGGGAGGGGTGCGTTAGTGGGCGTGGCTTTGAGGGGCCTCTATGTCTTTGTTGGCTGAGAACCGCACCGCGTCGCTCTCTGCACACCGTTAAAATGCTGACTGGACAAGGGGCGGGTTCGACGGCCCGCGGCCCGCCTCATTGGCTTCCAAACAAAGAGGACAGCTGAGGCCAGATGACATTTTCCAGTCCCTGGAAGCGTGAAGAGCGGTGCAACGCGAGGAACGCTGCAAGAAGCCTGGACAGCCAGCAGAAGGCGCTCCCAGGTGACAGTTTAAGAAAGGGCGAGCGCGGGTGCGCAACTCCTTAGCGGCTCAGGCTCTTTGTCTCTGGGTGACTTTAGATCTGTGTTTCTGCATCTGTTTGAGCTTCTCGGGGTTGTCCGCGCTTGGTCCTCAGCCAGCTGAGTGACTCCGCACACCCAAACCCACTAGGTGAAGCCCCAGAGGGACTGATCCCTTGGAGCCACAGCTCTGTCACCTGGGGACAGAATTCTGGATAGGGTCGTGGCTGGGGCAGGGTGGAGGGCTCTGCAGGCATCTCCTGATGTTGGATCTGAATGGGAGGTTACTTCCTGGGATAAGTTTGGGGTTGCGTAAGAGGCTTCCAGCACTTTGTAGCATCCCAAGTGCCCAAAGCCATGGCTTTTTCCTTGTGAAACACTGACTCAACGTTATAGACCCGTGGGCTGAGGATTGCTTGGGTTGAAGTGACTAAAGGTGCTTAGCCTACTTTAAGCCATTGCTAAGTGGAAGATTTTGATGCTAGTTATTATTATTTTAATTATAATTAAGACAATGAAAACCAATTACCGATGTGGAGCCTTATATATACTAGGTAACGTAAGTAAAATATAGTTATTATAACGTAAAAGCAATATTTAAATTTAGGCATAATACAATATATTTACTGAATGATTATAAAAACTATATACAAAACATGTTAAGAATCACAAAATAACATAAGAAAATTACATAATACAGAAAATATGTAAATGAAAAATATTTTAATGCAGACAGTAAAACAATTTTAAAAGAAATGTGTATAGCCGACAGTATACTATTGGTATTCTTTATAAAGTAAAATTGATAAAACATGCTGAATTTTAAGTAATTATATGATTTAAGCATTTACTGATTTATGTAGTTAAAATGCACACTAATGGGGGCTGAGGATTTAGCTCAGCGGCATAAGCACCTGCCTTGCAAGCACATGAATGTAGAATATAAATGCACATGAATGTAGAATATAAAATGAAATGATATTTGTATGCAGTTTGGGGCCTATGAACTTACTTTATGTGGTTGAAGAGTATGCCCTCTAAGACCAAGTAAAACATTTCTGCAGTGTTTACCAGGTATCTCAAACAGGTCCCTGTACTCTGGCTAAAGGCGTTCAGGCTCTCTGAGCCTGGCTTTCATCATCAGTACAGAAGCGATGTCAATAGTGGTACCTACCTTGCATGAATGTTTTAGGGTATTAAATGACCCAGTGTTACACCTAAATTAACATCTGGTACGTGGTTGGCCATGACAGTGTTACTTTAATAAATATTATTAAATCTCATGACTTATAGAATAATTCATATACATTGTAACTTACTGTATTATATATATATATGTATATATGTATATATATATAGATGTTACACTAAATTATGCATAATATAGATACCGAAATTATAGTTCCACAATATTGATTGAACATGGAGATGTATTAAGTTGTCCCAGTCAGATGGACCCTTAGGAAGCCAGACGGTGAAACAGATGGACCAACCTCTGAACATACAAAGGCCAGAAAGACAAACTGTCTCCTAGCCAGACAGACAAGAGAGCCCCCCCAGGAACAACAAGATGTCTGGTGAAGAGTGGTCTCAATATCATGAAGACAAAGGAGACGCTCAAGATGCTAACTCCTAAGTCACTAAAACAAGTGTTACATTGGAGAGAATTCAAACCAGTGACCAGATGCTTCCTCCTTTGCATATCTGGCATATCTCTGTGTTGTAAATTTTAGATTATGTGTTTGAAGGTAAAGTTGCATTTTTCACCTGTGTTTAATACTGGTCCTGTATCTCAACAGAACTGTACTGCAAGTAGGCTCCTTTTTAAAACTTTTGCTAACTTGCTCTGTGAAAGAGATTGGTTTTTTTTCAGGGAAAACAGCAGAGCTAAGAACACCAACAACACAATCCCTTCTCTGAACCACTTGGCACCAAATGTGTTTTGACCTCACAGGTTCTCCGGTCTTAGGCGCGTATGGAATGGATTATAAAGTGTCTCAGCCCGGCTGGGCAGTGCCTGGTGATTACACTGATTCTCTCTCCATGGGAGTGATAAAGGTGGAACCTCCCCGACATGAGCACACTTCACATTTTGCTGGCATTGAATTTACAAGATTTTCATCTGTAATTTTATGACAAATCTAAATGGTAAAAATATACTCACTGGCATCCCATGAGTGATGAACTGTGAGAACAAGAAATATATTTAAAGATACAATGGCCCCAAATTTTCAAATTGATGAAAATTATAGGCACAGGTTTGAGGAACTCAACAAAATCTATGTAGAATAAAAACAAAAGTTCAGTAGGAAATATTACAAATACATTGCTGAAAACAAGGGAAAATGACAAAATATTATAAAGAAAAAGTAAGATATGTTACATACACAAAAACAAAGATGATTTAAAGTGGATTTATAAAAAAACTTGAAATCAGAACTATGGGAAAATTACTTTATGAAGAAAATAAAAATAAATATGTTATATTTTATACTTTGTATGATACTCTTTCAAAATGAAGGCAGCATAAAAAGTTTCAAAGAAAAGCAGCAAGATTTTCTCACTAGCAGGCCTGTACACCAAGAAAAGTAAAGACAATTCTTGAATAATGGATGTTAAATAAATATAGTTGGAAAACTAATGTATGTAAATGAATGAAGTGTTATTAGAACACTTAGTTATATTATCTAGATAAGTGTTAAAAAGTGGTAACTTTCTAAAATATAACTGTCTAAATGAAAAAAACAGCATATCATATAGTTTATAATATTTGTAGAAATGATGCAAATGACAGCAATGGTACAAATGGAAGTCATAAATGATAGTACATTGTTGTAATGTTCTTATATATTATTATTTGAAGTTGCACTGTGATAAAGAAGCATTTGTTAACCATAAGAAAATAAAAAAAAAGGATACACTCCAAAATGCCAAAATGTAATAAGCCTAGAATTTAGAAAAGGTAGAACCATAAATATAAGCAATCCAAGAGAAAGATGAAAAAGCATAACAAAAGAATAAAGAACAGATGTGACAAACAGGACAAATGGTAAGGTGGTCAACATTGTGTATTTGTAACTGAATCAACAGGTCAATTAAAATACAGATTGTCAAAAAGTGAATAACAGCAAGGGCCAACTAACTACATGCTTACTAAAAGAAACTCAATGTAAGAATATGGTCTACAAAAACCATAAATAATGACCCCTTAAATATACAAAAAGGTACGGTTTAAAAGTACACTGACCAAAAACCTTACATCACGTGACAACGTTATGAAATCAGACAGATCACAGTAGCAGCAGCAGCAAATAGATGTCAAAATAAGGTACACTAAAGTGAGGCATAGCGCCATGATGGAGAGGTCAAGACCATGCATTTATTTAGAAGACATAATTAAACTAAGTATGCATCCAAATACAAAACTGTAAAGTACCTGAATATTAAAATGATAGCACTGGAAGGAGAAACAGACAAATCCAAAATCACAGAGTTTTCAGTGCTACAGAAAGGGATAAAATAGGAAGGGCAGACAAAAGCTAAGGCATAGAAGATGTGAACAGATACCGGCAGAAATGATTTACTGATTGACAAAGGCGTTCCCCCCAGTCATGGCACAGTAGATGTTCTCCAGTACTTATGGCACATTTACAAGGTAGACCACCTGCTGAAACACCAAGTGAGTGTGAATACACTTTTAAAAAGGTTAAATCATACAGATTGCTCTTCAGTCACAACATGGAAATAGCTGTTTTACAAATGAGAAAGGGACTAGGAAATGGGGGAGGGAGGGGAAGAAAGGGGATGTAAAAAAGAGTTAAGATGTGTTATGTCCAGCAGTAACTCTTCCTCATGAATGCAATTACGCACTGCAGACATGTAGCAATAAAAATTAAAATGAAAAAGGAATTGACAAAAGGCATCTTGGAGTGTTCCAGATAATCAGAAATTAAGTCACTGTGTTTCATATTAACATATGAAATAAAATAATAAATACTATAGGATATTAGAAAATATCCTTAACTAAATAAAACTAAAAACACAACAAAAATTTGGAGGATGCAATGTGGTGCTTATAGGAAAATTTATGAGCACATGCTTAAAAATATATGAATATTATAAGCATATAAGTATATTTCTTCATATAAATACATAAAGAAATGGCCGTAATTAGTGTTCTGCTGTGAGTTTAAGAAGTTGGGAGATGTAAAGAGAAATTAAATGTGAAATAAGAAATAAGGAAATAATATGGAGGGGAATTCAGTGAGATAGAAAACAAAACCAAAGGAACCAAAGTAAAAGTATTTAGTTTTCCAAAATGTCCATGTTACTAAAATTTGTGCATAAATGATAAGAGGGGAAATAAATTTGTGCATAAATGATAAGAGGGGAAATACTGGAATTGAGTCACGTGACTAGAGAGCCTCTAGACATTACAATATAATATTAAAAATTACCTTTGAATTTTTTTAGTGGAGTACAGATAGATATGTCCATTCAATCACACCTGAGGAATGCAAAACCTCAAATTCCATACTAGAGTTAGCAGGGATCAGCCATGTGATTCACAGATGGGAAAACTGGTGCAGAGGAAGAAGTGATTTGGCCTGGGGCCACCAGAGAATAAGTGAATAAACCACTGATCTAACAGCCAGTCCTGGACTTGTGCCTCTGGATGGACAAAACCAGGCTTTTGCTACTGTTCTTCCCTCAGAGGAGATTTTAGGGGCATCCCTTGGAAAGCTGACGCTCAAGCAGATTCCTGGGGACCAGGGAGGTGCCCTAGAAGGAAAAGGAGACCTCATTTCTTTGCTTACATAAATACGGTGGTCCTTCAAAATTGACAATTGGTGGCAGAAAAAGTCCATGCTGCTTGGACCTGTAGACACCTGCTCTGAAGATCCTTGAACTTTGAATATCTAGAGAAGTTCTGAGATCAGCTCCTCTGCCCAGAGAGTGTGAAGAATGAGTTAGGCACCATCA